CTCTAAAGGGCCCCTTTGGCAGTAGGAAACACATAGACTATTATGGAGATTGATTTTGGAATTTAGATTCACTGTTCTCAGTTGTGCTTAGCCGTACATGTTCATATCCTTGAAGATGTATCATGAAAGTGTTGCAGCCTAGAAGATACAAATTTAACTAACAAGTTAAAAGTACATGAGTCAAAAATTAAAAAGCAATAGTATTCTGAGTAGAGGGTCTAATAGTGGCACAAATCAAGTTACAGAGGTGAAAACATTTAGCAGAACCTTGAAACTTAAGGTATATTAGGGGGCGAAATCTTTCAAAATTGCCAGGGAAAACCCTGTAGATCACAAAGTTCTAATCTGCAACTTTTCATGAGGCTGGCACAGGACTGGGCAGGACTTTGTTTTACTGCTTATGACATTGCTGTGAGTGGAAGCTGACTTAAACAATTGATAGTGAAGGTTTGCCTACTCAGTAATCTCCCCTTGACCCTTCAGTCCTCCCCAAGGCTTTCATGCCTGCCTGCATCATCCTGTCGTCACCCTGGAACAATTATCTTAGAAAAACAAGGGGACAAGCCATGCCCCACAGTTATTGTCCATTTGGCCCCAGAGCCTCCACACATCATTCAGGGTGGCCCTCAGAGGGTGCTACAGACCCAGCTGTAGCCCTATGATGGACCCAGACCATCGAAAACACTGCCAGAGTTGTAAATACCTAGATAGTCAAGAAATGAGGTATAGGTATATGCAGTGTTAATAAGTAAATATTGGATGATGGGCAAAGATATGGCGAAAATAAGCTTGTTTGTTGGACACTGAGCAGGACTCCTTGCCATAGCTGAAAGGAAAAGCAGGCCAGTAATAGCAGACTAGATGCCCTTTCTTGCTAAAAGTGAAAAGGACTTACTACAGAACCTCATAAAACAATAGTCTTCAATGTGGATTATATCTCAACATAAAGAACAAAAATCTTCACAAACAACCAATAAGTAACATCGTCATGAATGGAGAAAAGCATTGCAGTTGTCTATGATTTCATTTTCTTTGGATCCATAATTAACAACCATGGAAGCAGCACTGGGCATATCTGCTTCCGAGGATATGACTAAAAAGCACCTAACCTAAGCCATAGTCACATTTCTTCGAATAGTAGCTTTGATGAGGAATATCCAGTGTTCTGTGGTCTACCAAAAATACCAATTAAATCGGTCTTAGAAACCAGAGTAATCCTTAGAGGCAAAGATGGTGAAACATCATTTCACATATTTAGGGCATGTAGTCAGAACCATCCAGTCCCTGGAGAAGGACATCATACTTGGGGAAAAAAGAGAGATGAAATGTGTTGAAATGGTGACTGGAATAGTAGGCTTAAGCACAGCAAAGATTGTGAGGATGGCACAGGATTGGACAAGATTTTGTTCTGTTGTTTGTAAGGTCACAGAGTCAAGCTGATTTGATAACAACTGTGGCTGACATTGAGAAGAGTAAGAATTCCAGAGCATTTAATTGCGCTTGTGTGAAACCTATACCTGGACCAGGAGACTGTAGTGTGAACAGAGCAGAGAAACACTGCATGGTTTAAAATTAAGAACGGGGTGCATCAGGCTTGTATTCTCTCTCCGTACATATTCAGTTCAGTCTGTATGTTGAGCAAATCATTCAAGAAGCTGGACTTTATGAAGAGGAATATGGCGTCCGGATCAGAGGGACAATCATCTATAACCTATGTTATGCAGATGACAGAACCTTGGTTGCTGAAACTGAGGAGGACTTAAAGTACTTGTTTCAGAAGATCCAGGAATGTAGCCTTCAATATGAATTGCATCTCAATGTCAAGTAAAGAAGAGATTGAAACTGTCAAAAATGTTATTTTACTTGGATCCACAGTTAACACCCTTGATACCAGCAGTCAGGAAATAATGAGACGCATTGCATGGGGAAAGTCTGCAGTTCAGGACCTCTCCAAATTATTAAGTAATGATGTCAGTTTAAAGACCATGATGCTTCTGATTCGGGCCATGGTCTTTCTGATCACTTGCTATGCATCTAAGAGCTAGACAGTGAATAGGGATGACAAAAGAAGAATTGATGCCTTTGAATTATGGTATTGGAGTGCCAGAAGAACAAGTATGTCTTGGAAAGGGCACAGTCAGAATGCTCTTTGGAGGCAAGGATGATACTTTGCCTCACTTATTTCACGCATGTTTCTGGGAGGGATTATTCCTTGGAGAGGGACATGATGCTCAGAAGGGTGGAGGGTTGGCTGAGGAGAGGAAGACTCTCAACCAGATGGATCGAAATGATGATCATCAAGTGCACTCTAGTGTATATCGAGAAATGTGAAGATGGTAATAGGGTTCAGATCCACTGTTCATAGGGTCCCTATGAAACATACTCGATGGCACCTAACAATAAAAAGAACAATTTTAAAATACTATTTACATAATAAAAATCACCTCCCAAAAAGGTTACTAAGAAACTTCTCTTTCTCTTAGTTCTCTTAGTTTTCTTTTGTTATGCATGCAAAATTGATTTATTTTTATAGCATTTTCCCCTCAATTTAATATTTGGTTTTATAGGGGAAAATATAATGAGCAAAGCTGTGTGTTACTATAGATACTTCCATTAGTCTTCAATATGTTATGTGATTTTTAAAAGAAAAAATATCTATAAAGACTATTAACAATATTTTTTACAGATTTATATAAATCTGTGACAGTCTTTTTTTCCAGTTCTTGACATTTGAATTAATTATGTTGAATATGTAACCATTTTGATTATTATTGTGTTGAAGAGAAATTAATCCTTAAAATAATTTCTCAGAAATTTAAAATTCTTTCTAATGAGCATTTCTTCTTTCTTTTTAGGCATTCTTCCTGGTCTATGCTCTGGGATGTCTTAGTATTTCCTTTGAGAAGGTGAGATATTTTATTTAGATACAATCCACTTAATGTTTTCATGATATTAAAAGCAGTGTTGTGATAGAATTTGAGACTGACAGTGGTTATGTTAATGTTGCTGATGAAGAATGCTGCAATGCCAACTATTTTGTTACATATGTGTGTGTGCCTGTGTTACACATTTAAAAATTTTAAAAAAAAATTGTTTTTCTAATGTTGTTAGGTGCTGTTGAGTCAAATACGACTCACAGTGACTCTGTGAACAAGGAATCTGAACCTGTCCTATCCTGTGCCATCCTTGTCATCCCTGGTATACTTGACTCATTGCTAAAGTTACTGTGTCAGTCCATCTATTGAGGCTGTTTCTCTCTTTCACTAGCCCTCTACCATTCCATGCTTGATGTCCTTCTTCAAGAACTGGCCCCTCTTAACAACATGCCCAAATTGTGTCTCTCTGGAGGCTAAGGTGCATCTGATACAGGCCATGGTCTTCGCAATCACTTGTTATGCATCAGAGAGTTGGACAATGACCAAGGAGGATAGAAGGAGAATTGATGCCTTTGAGCTGTGGTGCTGGAGAAGAGTATTGAGAATACCATGGACTGCTAGGAAAACAAACAGATTTGTCCTGGAAAGGGTTAAACCGGGTGGCTCCTTGGAGGCAAGGATTCTGAGGTTGTGAGGAGAGACCGGTCCTTGGAGAGGGACATCATGCTTGGGAGGGTGGAGGGACGGCGCAGGAGAGGAAGGCCCTCTATGAGGTGGATTGATTCAGTGACTGGGATAATTGGGATGGGAGTGTCAGAGACAGTGCAATTGGCACAGGACAGAGCGGAGTTTAGGGCTGTTGTACACAGGGTCGCTATGAGTCACAAGCGACTCAACGGCACATATCAACAAGTTTCACCACCCTTGCCTCAAAGGAGTCCTCTGGTTGCAGTTTCTCCAAGCCATGTTTGAATATTCTTTTGGCAGTCCATGGTATATTTCGCACTCTTCTTCAACACCCAGCACGCATCAGTTCTTCTCTCATCCTCATTCATTGTCCAGCTTTCAGTTGTGTAGTAAGTGATTAAAAAGACTATGGCTTGGATCAAGTGCACTTGAGCTTTTAAATTTGCATCATTGCTCTTTGGAACTTTGGAGAAAAGCTTGACAGCATATTTTTCAAGTGCAGCATGTCTTTTGAGTTTTTTGCTGATATTATCAAGGGGTTTGATTGTGGATCCAAGTAAGATGAACTTGTTGACTATTTAATCTTTACTCCATCTGTTATGAGGTCATTGCCTATTGACCCAGTGGTGAAAATTTTTGTTTTCTTGATGTTTAGATGTAGTACATATTGCCATATTGAAGGCTATAGTCTTTGACCTCCTACAGCAAGCGTTTCAAGTCCTCTTTACTTTGAGAAAGCAAGGTTGTGTTATCTGTATAACACAGGTTGTTAATGAGCCTCCCACTGATTCTGGTGCCGTATTTTTCTTCATGCAGTCCAGCTTCTCAAATGGTTTGGTCAAGTAGGTATAGAGAAAGATACAACACTGACATACACCTTTCCTGATTTTAAACTACATTCTTCTCTTCCTCTGTCCAGACAACAGCTTAAGTTTCTCATGAACATGATTAAGTGTTCTGGAATTCCATTCTTATCAATGTTGGCCGTAATTTATTATTCTCCACATAGCCAAATGCATATGAGTAGTCAATAAAACAGAAATAGACATCCTCCTGTTATTTTCTACATTCAGCCAAGATCAGAATCTAGCATCAGCACTATCCCTTTGCCATGAACTCTTCTGAATCCAGCTGGAATTTCTGGAAGATCCTTATCAATGTACTGTTCTAGTCATTTTTAAATAATCTTTAGCAGAATTTTACATGAATGTGATATTAATGATATTATTTGATAATCTCCAAAATCCATTGTATCACTTTTTGAAAATGGGAAAAATATGGGTCTTGTTCAGTCAATTGGCAAGGTAATTGTTTTCCAAATTTTATAGCATAGACTGGTGAGCACGTCAGGGCTGCATCTGTTTGGTGACACATGTCGATTGATACTCCATCAATTCCTGGGATCTTGGTTTTGCCAATGCCTTCAGTGTGTCTTGAACTTCTCCTCCATTACTGTCAGTTCTTTATCATGTGCTTCTTGCTGAAAGGGTTCCATGTCAGCCTGGTCTTTTTGGTACAGAATATTCCTTCCTGGATCATTAAAAATTTTGCCCGTAGCATACTTCAGTGTTAAACTAAAAGCTTGAAATTGTTTTCTGGTTCATTCAGCTTGAGAAATGTTGTGCAAATGCTTCTCTTTTTAATTTTCTAGCTGCAGTTCTTTGCACATGTAATTATATTTTGTTCTGTCTTCTTGAATTACTCTTTGAAATCTGTCCATTTCTTTTACTTTGGCATTTCTTGCTTTGTTTTGGCTTTTGGATGTTCTGGTGCAATTTTCAGAATCATTTCTGACATTAATTTTGGTCTTTTCTTTTCCCCTTGCCTTTATAAAATTACCTTTTGCATTCTTCATGATGAGTACTTATGGATTGCATCCCAACTTAAAAAAAAACCACAAAAATCCTTGCTGCTAGACCAATAGACATGATGGACAGAGAAAGGATTGAAACTATCAATGAACTCTTTTTCCTTGTCAGTACCGGTAACTACCAAGAGATATACTGCACTGAGAAAGTCTGTAGTCAGGAACTGCTCCGAATTATTGAGGACTAATGATTGTCAAGATGACTACTAAGATGCACCTGATTCAGGCCATGGTCTTTTCAGTCACTTGCTTGTATGTGAGTTGGACATTAACTAAGAAAGACAAATGAAGAATTCATGCCTTTGAGCTATGGTGTTGGGAGAATAGTGCTGAAAATCCTATGGACTAGGAGGAGAACAAACACATAAGCCTTGTAGAAGGTAAAGCCAGAGTATTCCTTGGAGGCAAGGATGTTGAATCTTTGTCTCACATACTTTAAACATGTTGCTAGGAGAGATTATTCCTTGGATAAGGACATCATGCTTGGGAGAGTGGAGGGGTTAGCGAAGAAGACCCTCAACAATGTGAGTTGATACAGTGACTGTGGCAGTGGGTTTGAGAGATTGTGAGGATAACATGGGTAAGACAGTGTTCAAGTGTGTTGTTTACAGGGTCACTGTTGATTGTATGCGATGACACCTAACAACAACTACATAATTAATAAAATGGGAATTGAATTTTAACATCTTACACTTTAGAGATGTAACTCTGACTCGGACCAAAAACACACTATATTGAATCTCATTTTCAGAGTGATAACATACGTTGTTGTTGTTGAGTATCAAGTCAGAACCAACCCATAGTTGACGCTCCAGCAGAGGCAATAAATAGCACAGAAGACTGTCCATTCTTCATCTGCAGAGCTGCTGGTGTGCCTTTGGGATTGCAGTGTAGTTTCTTACCACTAGACATACAATGATCAGGTAATCTGAGTCAGAACAGCAACAGTACTGATAATTAATAAACAACAACAGTAATAGCAAGAGCTAACAGTATTTAGTACCAGCTTCCATAAAGGCCTCATCTTTAGTGTATCACGTGAAACAACTCTCATTCTTACTGGTCAGGTAACTGAGCCTAAGAGATCTCACTTATGATCACATCTATTCTTCTAACCAGTTACTGTGGTATGAAGAATTATTTAACTTATATTGGGGTTATCCCAAAAGCTGTGTTTTGCTTTATTTTTAAAATTTCTTATTATTTTTCTTTTAATCTTATTTTTGTGTGGGTGTACCATCAAATCATATCTGACTGGTACAGGAGGAGATTGTCCCTCCTTCCTCGGCAAAGCATCTGGTGGATTCAAACCATGAGCCTCTGGGATTGTAGTTGCAGCTTCTTGCCACTAGGCCACCAGAGCTCCCCAAAATTTTTTATTATTGTAAAAATGCAGAATGTACTTGTCTATTAAACATTTTTCATTTGTATGTTGTAGTTGTTGTTAAGTGCCATTGAGTTGTAGGTGACTCATAGCGACCTTAGGAACGAAAGACATAAACACTTATATAACTTTCTTCATTTGTATACAAATCAATAAAATCAATTACATCAACCCTCTACAGCCATCACTAATGTTTGTTGTCATGTTTTCCATCCCTGTAAGCAAAACTCTGTGTTACCTGAACAGTGATGCCCTCTTCCCTGCCACCCCTGATAACCACTGCTCAGCTAACCTCAGGACTTTGCCTTTTGTATGCATTTCATGCTGTTTTCAAGGTCAGCGTGAGATGTTGGTTCCATTGTTTGCTTCTAAATGAGAGGAGCTGGGAGACAGGAACACACATGCAAATGAGACTTCTCACAGTGTTGCTTCTATGCTTTGTGAATTTTGAACTGTACAAATAGAATTCTGTTTTATGTAGTTCTAATTCACTTAAAATTAAAGCATGAAAAGTAAACAAAGTAATAAATAGAACAAAGAAAGTATGTTTTACTCTCTCGTTGAGTGTATCCATCAAATTCTCCTAAAGAAATCTTTTTCACAAGTCCCCCAGCAGTTTGGAAATAGATGTCTGGCCCACTTTCCCAGATGGTGGTTATGCGTAGCTCCACCCATCTTCTTTTCCTGGGCCTTAGCTGGAATTTGTCAGAATATTCTGGAAACCTTACAGGCAATACATAGAAACCCCAACATCTGAAAAATGTTGGACCACCCATATTGGAAATGTAGCCAGAATTCTTTGTGAAACTGTTACTAGTTGGGGACGTCAGATTTTTACTTGCAGTGAGATTTGGGCAATCCACACATGCATGGAGTCTCCACTTAAGGAACAGAAAAGACAAGACATCAATCTCAGATCATGCTTAGGGTGTTGAAAATTCAGTTGAGCCAAACTAAGTAAATCCCACATAGTGACCAGATTCTGAAATGATGTAGCTAATTTTCCACACACATTTACACATCAAAATGTTCTCCAAACCAAACTTTCTCAGCCACCTGACAACAAACCCAAAGACAAAATGAAGCATCTTTTGATGTGAGGAGATTTTACAAAATGAACTGCTGATTTTCCTGGGCATTGTCCAACCTCTAGCAGCTGCGCATTCAGGATATGTGCATTAAGTCTTTGGAGCTTACTGGCCTCCTGGGTAGCGGTCTGCGTACCCCAAACACCTTGCTTAGACCAGCCACACCAAAAAAAGCAGGCACAAATAATTTTAATAATATTTTATATATTTTATTCAACCTAATTTATCCAAAATTACTGGCATATTTTGTATTCATTTTTACAGACCAAGTCTTTAAAATTGAGTATCTGAGTCTGTACATCTTAGACAGGCACTGGCTGTTCTGCAGGACTCTTCTAGTTAAATTCCTCCCTTGTGGATACCCTGCTTATTTTATTACTGTGGCAATAGTGCCACATCTGGTATCAGTGCTGATTTACTGGCCTAACTGAACATGAGTGAATAAATACAATACTGCTTTTTTGTTTTGTGAATTCAACATTCCCCCCCCCTTTTTAATTCATTGTTTTATATTTTCTTCTCCTTTTCCCCACAGTGCACCCTTTTGCCAGATTGTTGTCATACATAGTGAATTCAACATTTTAATGTGTTCATGTCAGGAACATTATGTTCACCATGCTGTTCAGTTTCATCTCTGTCCATTTCCATATGACTCTACCTCTCAGTACCCTTTAATCAGTGACTCCACCCACCCCTACCTCTCACACCTGGTAAGCTTTAGTGTCTGTAAATTTGTGTACTTCATATAACTAGTATCACAAAGTATTTGTTGTTTTGTCTGATATGTTTTACTGAGGATAACATAATCAGGTTTTGTATATGTTATAGTCTATACTAGGCCTTGGTTTCTCTGTAACTGAGTTATACTCCATTATACTTACTGTAATTTGTTTATTCACCTGTTGATGGACATTTAGGTTGTGTCCATCTTTGACTACTGTGAAGAGTACTGTAATGAACATTTTAAAAACTAACTTCAGGAGCCTCTGACGATAATGAAACTCTGGAAGGCTTTCACTGCTGTTCAGCCCTCATTCAGGACCACGTATATGGCCTACCATCATTTTCGAAGCAAGGGCTGGGTGCCCAAAGTGGGGCTCAAGTATGGAACAGATCTACGTAAGTAACTCTTGGTTTAGAACCAAGAACCAGGGTTTGTATCTGAAGTTGGTATAAATTTTATTTGCTCTGTTTGTACTATTGGCCAATCCTTTATAAGGTGTCATAAGCTTTACATAATAAGCTTTATAAGCTTACATACATGATATATGGAATAGGGGCAAAGTATAGTTCAGAAAGAGAAAATAGCAATCTGGGAGTAGAAGTTTACAAGTCTAAATCAGGTGGTTTTGTTTTGGGTTTGGGGTTTTTTTTGGGGGGGGGGTTTGTTTTGTTTTTCATTTGCTTTATAATCTTAGAATTCTGCCCTACAACCCAGACTCATTAGTAATATGATTTAGGGCGATTCCCCCCCCCTTTTTTTTAATTCATTTTAATGAACATTTACAGAGATTTAGGATTTCCATTCATTCATTGTTGCACTATTTTCTCTACTCTCACCCAGTTCATTCCTCTCTTTTTTTCTTTCCTCTTGAAAGTCTGTTTTAATTGTCCAATTGCCACAGTGCTTGTCAAAACCACTTCTCATTAATCTCCTTTGTCACTGTGTCCTTTGCCATTCCCTATCACTCCTCCCTGAGAGAGATTTCACCCTAATTCATAAGAAAAAGGGGACGGCATATTCTCTTAGCTACTTCCTGCTGAAAAGGGACGCTGTAGGTTTCAGGGTGAAGA